TTTTTTTTTTGGCTAGTCACAGTATCCGAAGCTATGCTCTAACTAATCCGTTGTTCGATTCGGGTCGCACACCTAGCGGTGATGGGTTAGTCTCCCTATAAGGGTTTTCTGCATCCACAAAGACTCGAACACGAGACCTTGCGTAAGACAGTAAGTTGCTTACCACTTGAGTCAACCTCTAATTTTCAGTGTTTAAATCTATATATCTATATATATATGTAGGTTGTTGGAAAAAAATACATTAATAAAAAATTTGACCAACAAAATATAATGTTTGACTTACTATTAGTGGAAATTTTGAAAAAACACATGTTAAACACTAATAACAAAATTTAAATCCTATATTTTTTGTAACAAATTTAAAGATTTTTACGGTAAAATATGAATCCCATTTTTTTGCATCATTTTTTATTTTTATACCAAAATCTGAATCCCATTTAAAAAAAAAAAAAAACTTTGGAGATCCTTATGTAAAAAATGTGTAAATTATTTTTTAAAGCAATTCCAAATACAAATTAATTTAAGGACCGTGCAAATTGGATACAAATTTAGGAAAAAAAAATTTATAATTCTTAAAAAATTCTGTCAATCTTCTTGAATAATTTTTTCTTTCAAAAAATATGTGCAAATTCGATAAATCAAGTGCAATTTTTATTTTAAAACAAAATTGAGATTTGGACGGGATGTACATTCAATATTGTATCCACATTTGGTAACAAAATCGGTTCATCTTTGAAATTTAAAGTCAAACATTATTCAATTATTTAGGAAAAAAATTCAAATGAATTTCAAAATCATGGGCAACTTTTCAAAATTTGAAGGCACCGATTTTGTTGGATTCTTATGTTTTTTAACCATGTTTACCGATATTTTGGTAATTCCATATCAACTTTTTTTTTTGTGTGTTAAGTTCATATCAATTTTTTGAGGAAAACTGTTGCATAAATCTTAACAAATTATTCCAATTTTTCGTTAGAATGAATTTCAATTCAGTTTGACTGGTAAAAAAATCGGTGCAATGTTAGAAAATTGTGGTTGCATTTTTTTTGGAAAAATTGATGTTTCTTTTCGCTTTGTTTTAATCAAATATTCAAATCAATTTGTTTGGTAAAAAATTAGTGTATTGGTAGGAAAGTCGGTTTCATTTTTAAGAAAAACTAATGATTTTTTTCAATTTTTCTTAATCAAAATTTTGAATTAAATTTTTAAAAAATATATAATGGCGTGAAAATCTCTAAAAATTTCTACTTTTTTCTACTAGATTTTTGTTCAATAAATAAAATTCCATCATAATTTTTTAAATGTAAGTTGTTAACTAATAACTAAATATACGCAATTTTAGATAAAGTCTGAATACCCATGTAGTACTTTACGTGCCAAAGAATCAAAGAAAAAAAATATTGTACATAAGGAAGTGTTCAATAACATTTAAATTTTATTTGCATGATATTTATAATGTCATCAGACAATTAAAATATAAAAATACATTTTTAAAGAGTAAGTAGGTAATAAATGCTCTCGTGTATCGCACGAGTACTGTACTATAGTGATATAGGATATTATCTGTATAAGGACGAACCGATTTGGTGAGCCGGTCGAGAAGAGCAGACCGGGAGCAAACCAAGCCGAGAGGCGGGAATCCAAGGGATCGAGCAGCCCCAGGGCTCGACCACGTAAGCGGTCGAACAACCCAAAGCTCGACTGCACTGGCGTTCGAGTAGCCTGGTGCTCGATCAGACTGCTCGAGCTACCCATCAATCGATCAGATAAGTGATCGAGCAAGCTGAGTGATCGTGCAAGCTGAGTGATCGAGCAAGCTGATCAACATAAGCCCAGACGCGTGTATAGCAGACGCGCGTGAGGGTCTCTGACTGGGCTTCAGGAGAATATTTACCCCATGTGCCGGGTGGACACGTGTCGACAATGTATTGGGTGATAGCGATAACCACCTCTGACAACGCCCAAACGTCCCGCGGCACCTCTGACATGTGCGCGGCGTGTCAGAGTACGGACGGGCAGCTTGGGCAGCACACGTATCCTTATCCGGGCAGCTATTAGGGCAGGTATCTCACCCCTATAAAAAGGGGATGAGCCTTTCTTCCTTAACACGTTCTATTCATTCTCTAAATTCCAGTATACTCATACACATACTGACTTAAGCATCGGAGGCTCTTCACCGGATCCAACCCCCGGTGTGAGAGTTATTTGCAGGTTCTCGGCGTTCTACCGGCAAGGACAAGAATCGATCTACTCCAAATCGGACCCGGACGCTTACACTTGCATTATATAGTATATATAATAAGAATAAACATTTACTAAAAATAGTAGCAAAAAATAAGTCAGAATTTAATGCATCCTATAAATAGTAAGTTTTATTATTTTTCTTATTTTTTCTTTAAAAACCATACAACATTAAATGTTGCGTTAAACTAGTACGTACCTCGTGCGATGCGCGGGTCAGAGATGTTAAATACGACATTTTTATACACCATGTCCGTTCAGGCCAAAATACAATAGAGTTGGATCATCTATTTTGCACCTCCGTGGATCAGCGTTGTTTTAGTTATAACGTTAAAACTGAGTCTATTAGTCATAGTCTGTAAATTAATTAATATATTAACCCGCTAAAACGTTTATACTAATATAAATTTGATTTTAGTATATATAGTTATTCGATTATGTAAGAAAATATAAAAATTTTACATATTCTTATTTACCATATATTGCTTAATTTATAATTTTATTATAAAATTTATTGTCATATAATTTTATTATTTTTTTAAAAAAAATTTTAGAAGCAGACTTCTTATTCTTTTTATTTTATATTTTATATTTTATGTACTAACAAATATTTAATGTACGCTTATATTATTTATTAATGTAGTTAATTTAAATTATGTAAACAAATTTTTAATAAAATATCATGTATAAGTATTTTACAAAATACAATTTTTTTAGAATGTGTGTATTAATTTTGAGATCCACTCAAATTACTAATTTTGTTAATTTCATGTGAATTTCATATTGATTTATTGATTTTCTTATTTCCATACAAAGTTTTTTTTTTTTCCAAAACGACAGAATAATTATCATAAAACTCAAAGAAGGACATAGTCCGAATACAAGGGCAGTACAACTGGAATACAAACCAAAAAATGAGAGACACACCCGAAGGTGGCCTAGAGCCTCATCAAAAGGAACAAGGACAAACTAAAAGAAACTAAGGAAAAAAATTCCTTCTACTGCCAAAAGCCTAGCAAGGTATTTAATTCCCGAAAAAGAAAAGGAAAATCTAAACTAAAAAACAAGTCAAGAGCAACAAGCAGTGGAGAACTGAGTCCATTCAGCATGAGTTGTCTTAATTACTTGAGTTTCTGGCATCAAAGAGTGCTGAAACACCCAAAGGTTCCTTGATTTCCAAAGCCACCAAAGGATGTAAGTAGAAAGTTGGATCCTTGCTTCAGTGACTTCAGTGTAATCAAGGGAACAAATTTTAAACCACCATTCTTTGAAAGAGTCTGTGCTGCCGAGAAGACCTTGCCATGAAACAAGTGCAATGTCCCAAGTTCTGCAAGCTCTAGAACAAGAGAGAAGAATGTGCTCTATAGTTTCAACTGCATCCCCACAAATGGAACAGATGGGATCAACATTAACCTTCCTTTTCCTCAGAAGACTTGCCACAAGAAGAGTTCCATTGATACACTTCCATAGAAAGTGTTTCAATTTTCCAGCTACCTTGACTTTCCAGAATTTGAATTTTACTGATTTGCAGATGGAAGAGTTGGAACTACACTCAGGAATATCAAGTTGAGCAAGCTTAACTGTGGAGAGGAATTTATAGGTGCAAGCTACAGAAAACTGTCCCTTCAAATCAAGCCCCCAATAAAGTCTGTCATGCCTGTCTGGATGAAGAGTAGAAATTATGAGGATAGCTTCACTATCCAGAGGATCAAAAACCTGTCTAACCAACCACTCACTCCAAGAAAGACCATCAGAGTTAATAAGTTCTTTGACCCAAATGAGATGCTCTCTGGCCAAAGGAATTAAAGTGGGAGGGAGCTTGTGCAGAGAAGGCACCCAATTGAAATCAGCTATTTGAGTTTTCATGCCATTCCTTATCTCAATTTTCAGCCACTTAAGAAAAAAGGGATTACCTCCATCCAACAGTTCCACATCGAGGAACCCTTTGAAGTTTTTATAGCATGAGTGATGACAGAGTGTGGGAAGTATCTATCCTTCAAAAGTTTACTAACTAACAGCTCTGGATGTGAAACTATTCTCCATAGTTGCTTGCATATCAAAGCCTGATTAAAAACCTGCATATCAAGAAAACCCAATCCTCCATCTCATTTAGGTAAAGAGAGCAAACACCACTTTTTCCAATGAATACCTTTAGAATGTGGATCACCAGACTGCCACCAGAATTTAGCACACATTTGGGATATCTCAGAGCAAAGAGTTAAAGGAAGTTTAAAGCAAGACATAGAGAAGATTGGTAGAGCTTGAATGATTGCTTTAAGCAGCACTTCCTTACCAGCAGGACTTAGAAGCTTTGATTTCCAGTTTTGAAGCTTGTTTCTGACAGAATCTATAATGTATTCAAAGACTTCTTTTTTTGATTTGCCAATTCCAAGGGGTAAACCGAGGTACCTGGTTGATTTGTGGCAGACAATACCATTGAGAGCATTACAGATTGCCATTTTCAAGGGCTCAGGAGTATTTCTGCTAAAGAAAATGGCAGATTTGTTCAGGTTGACTGCTTGCCCAGTAAAAAGTTTGTATCTCT